AAAAGGTTAGGTAACATTCATAGCCATTATTATAGCCAGGGTTCTTAGTAACTGGAGTTAAAAGGTTAGGTAACATTCACAGCCATTATTATAGCCAGGGTTATTGGTAACTGGAGTTAAAAGGTTAGGTAACATTCATAGCCATTATAGTCAGGTAACATTCATAGCCATTATTATAGCCAGGGTATTGGTAACTGGAGTTAAAAGGTTAGGTAACATTCACAGCCATTATGGTTAGGTAACATTCATAGCCATTATTATAGCCAGGGCTAGTAGTAACTGGAATGAAAAGGTTAGTTAACATTCATAGCCATTTGTTCTGTCACAGGGTCCATTTCTGGGAAGTCCCAGTAGTTTATCAGTTTTGAAATGCTGTTTTATTTTTTTTATTGCTGTATCTTCATTCAAGATTGATGTATAATAGTTTTTAGATTCTTAGAATTAAAAAAAGAAAGACAGTTAGAAACAAAACAGAACAAGCTGGTTTTTGTTTTGAGCCAACACCTCTTTTACAATTCCTTTGATTTAAATTTTTAAAATGTGGCTCCAGGTCCCAGAGTTTACTGAAAACTTCATGAAACATGTCCCCATGTTTCAACCTTATCACTTTGTGCACTCTGTAAAAAGGGGAAGTCTGTACTCAAGCCAATTGACCCATCCAGCCAGAGCTTATCCCAGTTTCTTGAGCATAAAGCACAACAATTATCACTACTTCCTGCTGGATTGAAGGTTATTACCACTGTATTTCTTCAATCTTCCCTGACGATGTGTTGGTACCCTTTTAAACTCCTGGGTGGAGACAGTCCTTGTTAGAGTAAATTTATTTTTGCCCAAAAACACAGCACATTGGCCCCAGCCAATTTGCAAACCCAGACTTCTCAACTTGGAGTGCAGCGCATTGACTACTAATTTGCCATGTATCCCCTGTGAACCCTGTGTTTACATGTAATTATTAATAGCATTTTTGTCATTTCATTAGTTGTTTCTCCTGTTACAGAGCAACCTGCAGAGAAGCAGGACCAAGAGGAAACTGTAAAGAATCTTGCAAAACGAATTCAAGATACCAGCTTATCAGACAAAAGCTCTATCAGTGAGGTAAAAGACCCTAAGAAGAAATTTGACATGGTAGATGCAGGAAGAACCCAGGTGAATGAACGGCTTTTAATGAGTGTAAAAGACATACCTCTACCTGTATATTCACGAGTCTGTGTGTCACTCAATGTCCTGAGAAATGTGCGATTTGACGACTTCAGAATGCTGGGTGACAAGGTTGGGCTGTCCAGAGATGAGATTGAATTTGTAGGACAGCAGGGAAACCCTGCTGATGAAATTCTGAAAACGTGGTCATCAAGGCCGCGAGAGGCAACAGTGGCAAAATTAATTGAACTTTTGAAAGACAAGGATTTTGGAAGAATGGATGTAGCACAGATAGTTGAAGACTGGGTATCTTCAAAAGAGAGATGAAAAGCAAGAACAAAATTAATAGTTAGCAATTTTTGAAATTTATGTACAATACAATTCTTCAAACATTACAACAATAGCAGTTGTTATCAACTGGCAATTTTTGGAGTGGTTTGGTGACCTTTACCCTGAGAAACGATCATAGTACTTCATAGTATTTCATCTAAAACTTGAAGAGTCTCTGACCCTTTCACTTCCAAGATCTCAATTCCAATTCTCCTTACTGTTTGCCAGACATTTCTTAAGATGTTAGTTTGGAGAATTTGGTGTTTGATCAACTGATAATCCCCTGATAGATCTTTTTCTGTATTCTCATCACTCGTCTACTTTGAGGCATTTTAACATCANCTACAAGCGACAGAACGGAAAACAAAGAAATAGCGCAGATGAACATAAATTTGACATTATCAGCCCCAGAACATTCCCTTGCCTGAAGAAAGTTATAAATTGCAAACACAATGGAAGAAAGAATGACAGAAATGACGAGTAGGACAGTGAAACCCCATACTGTGTTGATCATTATTCCAACAACCACCCAGCAACATTGAAACGCTGAAAGATTTCCCCACATAAATATAAACGATTTTTCACCTACTGATTTTTCAACCAAGAAATCAAAACTCCTTGCTGCTATGAACGGTACTATCAAAGCTTCAAGAATTATAACCCCAAGGATAACAATAATATCCCATGGACCTTCTAATATTATTGAAAGGACAAGGACATAAATAAAAAGTCCAAGCTGTACAAATACTAAAAGGAAGATTGTATACTTAACAGCATTTGTTAGGTTTCGTTTCTTCTCATTTTCTGGTGTTTTTACGTGGTTTTTGGCACAGTCACCAAATATTAATGTAAAAAGGGCCAACAATGGCCCAAAGGAAAAGGAAAAACCAAATGAGCTCCACAGCATCATTCTGATGTAAAATTCACGTCCTGTTACAGAGGATATGTCCGTTGTGTGACCTTTTAAAACGCATTCGGCGGTGTTTAGAGTTGGATTTTGGATTTGTGGACTCACGGCTAAGTCTTGAAGCTGTTGATAGAATATATTAAAATATTGGTGGTGAAGAAATGTCGGCATAATGTTTCATACATCGTCCAGGAAATGTTAGGTTATGTTTTATGAGGGTCTGAATGGGGTGATGGCTTTTGAGATCTTTGAAGACTAACGTTTTGGCCATTTTACGGTTATCAGTAATTTGACACTTTAGAAAAGGACACATACTACTAGGAAAGATTTTTTACGGTTGACTTTTCTTACGACTAACGGTTAAAATTTCTTAATTTTAACACATAAAGGTAAATTTTTTGCCGTTTTACAGCTAGCAGTTAGTCCATCTTATATTCACGTCTGACCATAGCCCATGCAAGAGTGCTGGTGTCGATTGAGTGCCTCACACTGAGCAAATTTCTAATTTGTCAGAGCGTCGGGAGAGCAAAACCCAAGTCTTCACAGTGACCAATTATGGGAGGTATCACGTGAATGTTGTAGACCCGATTAACACATAGTGATGGAAAGAGAAACAAAAACAATTGTCAGTATGAATAAATGGGGAGAGAAGCCATTTCCATACTGATTCCCCTGACAACTGCCAAGGGTCGCTTCAGCCCCTATGCTATCTTGCTCGTCTCATCTGAACGAGAGCCTGCAACCATAACCAACGAGCCTCGACCAAAAAGCTGACGAGGTACATCTCCTCATACAGTCCTCGAAAAGATGTAAGTACCACCCCTCTAGTCACTCACCTCAACCCAGGAAAAGATTTTCCAACATCTTGTGACTAACCTCAGACAAAACTCTCTCGATGATCACAATTCGCTCCTCCTCCGACACATTACAACAGAACGGTGGAATTGTGATGTGCAGGTCCCGTGTACGCGGTGTGATAAGAATGGC